TCTCTACAAACTGATTTAACAATCCTACCTGCCAGACACATCGGACAGCTGCGAAAAATTGCCTTTTCGAATGGGTTCGTAAAGATGAACAGATGAGGGACGATCTTCTGGAAAAACAGATATTTCTTAGCTCTGTGTATATGAGCAGTTGTTGAGCAATCTCATGTCCGCTTCAGAACCTACCCATTTCATCAGTTCCTCTGGTCATACGACGTGCTTGTTCTAAATAAGAATTACGAGACTCTCTAAAGCGTTCCAACTCCGGCAGAGATGCATCTGCTGCGAGCTGGAGAGTGTCCGCAGTGTTCGCAAGCACCGAAAGATCAGCAGGCAGGGAACGCTGGAAAAAAAAAGCAACATTATAGCCGTCGATACCTTGTAAGCATGCAAATGTAACTCACGTAATCTCTACGATATACGTCGCCCTGACCCGCTTCAAACACTTGTTCTTCCCTATAAAGAATAATTTTCAGAAATTTGACAATGAACTGTTAGTCAGTCCAACTAGTTTGCGGTTACGTATGTGTCTGACTTAAAGATAGCACCTCATAATCACTACGACAGCAAAAAAGGATATAAAAGGAACCCAGAAATTTTACGCGCCCACTTCAATTCACGCTCAGATTATTTCGACAAATTGAAGGAGCAATTAATAATTAATATTATATGTATTATATCTTATATGTACTACTATGTGTACTTAGTCGCGTCTCAAAACATAAATCATACCGTTTAACGGTTGGCTCAAAAACAAAAGCAGATAGTAATGATCTATTAACAACGCTCAAAACAACATGTCTGTGTTGTTAGCATGTTAAAATCGAGCTCTATAAAAGCTAAAAAGCACTTCATGCCTGGAAGCACATAAAAATGGGAAAAAGTATGGAATCCTTCAAGGATGATACTCCGTCACACTATGTTATGAATTCAGAGCACGACTGAAGATAGCAGATATACTTTGTTAAGATTTCCGTTATGTGGTAGCGCCCAAACAACATCTTTGAACGTGAAGACAGATAAAAATCCAAAACAGGTTTTAAATTTATAGTATAAGTGTGCGCATCTCAATCCCAAATAATGATATATGAAAATCTAACCTTGCAGGTGTCATCAATAGTGTCGTTCTTCCCGGAGTCAACTGAACAGAAGTAGACATTAACGACAACGAATGGAACACTTCTACCAAAGTTACAAACTAACCTCATCTCCGCGAAAATACCTTTCTTTACTTGAAAAAGTTTCATCAGAGCCTGCGCGCACTCTACAAATAAGCATGTTGACAATGCCGTATATCTTAGTACTTTTAAACATACCTTTCGGGGGTTTCATACAAATTATAAGCTATACCAGGAACTAGGCCGTGTACAGAGCTCTGCAACATTTACGATTTACAAGTGTAGTATCACAAAAACATAGCTGGCCAAAGTACTGCGCACCTCCTTCGATGATTGCTCGCTCCCTGAGTAGTGCCAAAGCGTTGAAGGAGCTCCGCGGTCAATAGGTTCAAAAAGATTTTCAGTGATGGCTTGCTCATATGTTAACTTATCGCAAAGTCTACTGTGGTACAGTTCAATGCATTCCTTTGGGAACCCTGCGGACTTAATTAAATGAAAAGAAATGA